TACACATTTTTAGTTGTCCAGCTAATTTCTTTCTATTTTTTTAGTAGAAACAGGGTCTCGCTCTTGCTCAGGCTGGTCTCGAACTCCTGAGCTCAAACGATCCACCCACCTCGGCCTCCCAGAGTGCTAGGATTACAGGTGTGAGCCACCGCGCCCGGCCATACTGCCTCATTTTTACCTCTATTTTAAAAGAAAGGGAAATTCAAGAAGTCAATTTAACCTTACATATTGTATATAAAAATCTTTTTCCTGTTTAGTAATTTCTTTATTCACAGAGCATAGCAAAATTTGACATCATATTTTGATGTCTGAAAACCTATGAGGAATGACGTGGAGTAATATGTATAATTGTAGAACCAGGGCAGGGAGAAAAAGTGATTAGCACACTCAAAATTTTTGTCTTCATATGAGCCGTGGTTAAAATCAAGCCTACATTTTAGATGAATGATTATTGGTATGGATGTTAATAGAAAATAAGAATTTATCATTTGATTTATTTATTTATTTATTTATGAATGAATGAAAGAATGAAATGGAGTCTCACTCTGTCACCTGGGCTAGAGTGCCGTGGCATCAGCCTATCTCACAGCAACCTCAAACTCCTGGGTCCAAGCGATTCTCCTGCCTCAGCCCCTCCCCGCCCAGTAGCTGGGATTATAGGCGTGTGCCACCATGCCTGGCTAATTTTTCTATTTTTAGTAGAGACGGGGACTCACTCAGGCTGGTGTGGAACTCCTGACCTGAAGGGATCCTCCCACTTCCGCCTCCCAGAGTGCTAGGATTATAGGCGGGAGCCACCACGCCCAGCCTATCATTTTAAAATACTTAATCTTTTTGTAAAATTGAGTGATAATCATTTGTTTTAGAGTCATAGTAGTAGACATTTATTTATTTATTTTTACTAATGCAGAATTTTTTGCCAGTTATTTCAGTGCACCCCATTTGACCTGCATCCCCACTCCTGTCCCTGCTCCACTCTGTTCTAACCTTGACCCTGACCCTAGGTCAACTAGATTCTGTTTCCTAGGAATTTTTAATTTGAATAGAGAGACTTAGCAGGATGAGCAGTGATAGAAGCTGAATAGTCCAATAACATTGCCCTTGAAAATAGTCTCAATTACTGCTTCTGAATTTTTCTGTCAGTTGAGATTCTTTGGTTGCAAACAACAAAATCCAGTTGTGGTAAGGTAAGGAAAATAAAACAAAAGCAAACCACAACAGTAAAAAAAAACAGGATTCACTGGAAGCAAATGTGGTAACTTTCAGAATTGAAGAAGAGCTGAACTGCCATCCCTTGGGAAAAAGAGAAACCACGAAGTGGTTTCTGAAGTGCTGCTGCTGGATGACTCTGCCACAACCACTTTGCTTCCTTTCCTGTGTGTGCTCAAGATTCTCATTCCTAGGAGAGAGAATCTGGTCGGCCTAACTTGAGTAATATGTGGCAGGATCTTGTGTTGGGGGCAGCCCCATCAGAACTGTATGGAGCAGGAAAGGAGGTTATTTTTCAGAAGAACTTGTAATGTTAATACAGGAAGGGAGAAAGGGATGCTAGGCAGAGATTTAAAAAAAAAAAAAAAAGAAAACTGGTGGCCCACTATAATTCATATCTTACCTGCGTGGCACATACACATCCTTCTTCTCATTCATAGAGTTTCACTTCTGCAGTTCAAAATGATGTAAGCATCTTATTTAACCACAGATGCATCTATGACTTTCCCAAATAAGCAATCTGCAGTCACATCTAGTCGTTACATGGTCAGGCCTCCCTGCATCCACCAGCTCTGAGAGATATCTTTTGTTCCTCTGATTTGTTGTACTCACACCCAGATGATCTGGAAAATTTTAGTTAGCACCTACTCACCCTGAATTTAATAGTAAGAGAAAGGAAAAGAGAATGAAAATATTGTAAAAATATGTGACACGCTAAGCAAGAAGATTTGCAAGTAGTTAATAGCTATCGCTGTTAACAGTCAAATGTATATATGACTTTCTTCTTTTACCTTCTTTGACCCAGCACCTCAGCTGATTGGATTTGTTTGACCAAGGATGTGACCCTTTATTCAGAGAGAGCTAAGCTTCTGGTGATGGATCCTGTCTTGCTTATATAAGGCTGTAATAGTCTTGTATTAAATTTTGCTTATCAAACTTGGTACATGATGTTTGGAGGGGGTTGGTCTCTAAGTTCCAAAATACTGCTACCAGTCGTATAGCAATATTTTTATTCTCTTTGACTGTTGGGGTCACTGTGTCAAGACAATGCTGTAAGCATCCCACTTTGTTCTCCTAGTGATATGAAGAACCTAGAGAATGATGACTTTTAGTTTCAATTCAATGGAACTATTATTATATCCCCTAATAGAGAATAGTACACAGCTTCCTTAGGTACTAAAACCACAGAAGAATCCAAGTAGCAGTGAAGCAGAAATTTAAAACCGAATTTTTAGGTGTAATCGTGAGAAGTACCACAACCACTTTCCACCCCTTGGTTCCCATAACTTTGCATTCCAGCTGTGAGAAAGATCACCCATATATACTGGTTGCCGATTATAGCATGTACCTCATTCTGTAGGACCATGTACCTCACTCTGTAGGTGTTTTCTTCCAGGTGACACCTCTAACAATTCATAAATTTTATGAATTTCATAAATTTTATGGCACTGATAAAAAATCAGTTTAGTAGGTCATCATTTAAAAAACACTAATTTTTTCAAATGATTGAGTATATGTTAAGATTAGTGAATTTCTTAGCCACCTGTTGCTTTACCTCTCTCTTTATGAAGGAAATTCTTTGATTAGAGGCAGTGTGGTGTGGGCTACTGGATAATAATACAACCAAATCTTATCCCTTCCCATTAATGGAAGGGTTCCAGTGTAATCAACTCCTTACAGAATGTGCCATCTTTGAGGTCCAGGGTTGAGCACTGAGTACTGGCACGTAGGGTATTGTAAGCCTATCATATATTGTTCTTATCCTTATGAACTCATCGATAAGCAACAAGCTAGCTACTTAGTTACTTCATTGATTTAGATGGATTGTGGCTGCCTGTAGGTAATGTGAAATAATCACCATATAAATTGCCTGTCATTTTTACAGTTTCTTAAGATAATAGATTTTGGCCGGGCGCTGTGGCTCACGCCTGTAATCCTAGCTCTCTGGGAGGCCGAGGCGGGCAGATTGTTCGAGCTCAGGAGTTCGAAACCAGCCTGAGCAAGAGCGAGACCCCGTCTCTACTAAGAAATAGAAAGAAATTAATTGGACAACTAAAAATATATAGAGAAATTAGCTGGGCATGGTGGCACATGCCCGTAGTCCCAGCTACTCGGGAGGCTGAAGCAGGAGGATCGCTTGAGCCCAGGAGTTTGAGGTTGCTGTGAGCTAGGCTGACTCCATGGCACTCTAGCCGGGGCAAAAGAGTGAGACTCTGTCTCAAAAAAAAAAAAAAAAAAAGAATAATAGATTTATACTACATTTTTTTCTATTTTAAGTGTGAATGGAGTCACATCTAGAAAAATGCTATTACCAGTATTTTTATGTAACTGGAAATAGTGAATAAAGTATACCCTGCAGGGAAATTTAATTTGACATTTTTTTTCATACTTACAGCAAGAAACTTAGGACAAGAATTGTAGCCCCAGTATTTATGGATACAAAAGATCTTAACAGCTTGAGGTGTAACAAATTGTCCATATTCTAGGAAGCAGATTATAAATGATGAAGTATTAAAATAGAAATAATGAGTTACAACCACAATCTTCTCTAAAGAAAAGGCTAATGAATTGTTTGTTTATCTGAGAAAGGTCAAAATTTGATATTAAAGAATGTATAACTTGTTAAAGCTTTTGCATTAGGCTGTTTAAAGTCAGGTACACTTAGATTTTCCCTGCATGCTTAATGATAGTTAATATTTTTCTTTCAAAGTATTAACAAGTTTAAATGTTTTATGGTGCTTAATCTAAAAAATTACATCATTTTATAATTCAAAACAACATTAAAATAGAGAATGGTAATTATTGAAGTACTATTTTATAATAGTTATTTTTAAAATGGAAATGAGAGGAGCGTTAATAAAATAAGTCACATTCTTGGAGGCACATTTTCCTTTCTTAGAAAAAAAGTCCTTTTAAAAATAAGTATTTTATGTTAGTGACTTAAAAACATATGACTAATGAATATTTTTGGATAATGTTTTAGGCCTTGCTTATCCAAGAGTCAAGATGGAAATTACCCCACCTACTACAGTTGCCTGAGAATTATAACACCATTTTTCAGTACTACCACAGAAAAACCTGTAGTGTCTGCACCAAGGTTCCTAAAGATCCTGCTGTTTGCCTTGTTTGTGGTACTTTTGTATGCCTGAAAGGACTTTGCTGCAAGCAACAAAGTTACTGTGAATGCGTATTGGTAAGCAATAGCAAATAATGTAAAGTTTATGAAAGCTCAAATCTCTTATTACATGGAAATGTGGTATATATGATGGTGCCAGCTCTTCAAATTTAACTATTCTTTGAGTTAAATATACAGTACATACAGGGATTGTGTTTTGTTTTTGCTTTTGTTATTTTAATCCAGTAGAAGGGTTTAAAAAAGAAAGAAAAAGACTCTTGAGGCTTTCGGTGAATGAAATCTTTCCTAAGTACAATTCCAGTTCTCCTTTTTCCTGTCTTTTCATGGTATATATATTTTTTTCTTACTTGAACAATTCTTCTCTGGGATTTTATTCTACAGATAGATTCATTACTAGTACACACACTCAAAGCCTTATTTACAAAGATACTCATTGCAGGATTATAGTAGGAGTAGAAACAATATAGTGCAGGGTGTTGCACAAACTCTGTGTCTGCCAGTCACATAGAATACAATGTGGACGGCTCCTTGAAATTTGTGCAACTGATAAATTAATTACTAAACTACAATGTGTCCAAACAATGGAATATAATGCAACATTTAAAAAGCAGGATGTGTGTCTTTATGGACTCATAATGATTGCTAAGATATATATATATTTTTTAATTTCAAAATATCACAGGGGTACACATGTTTTTGGTTACATATATCAATTTTGTTGTGCTTGAGTCAGGGTTGTAAGTGTGCCCATCATCCAGTTGGTATTCATTGTACCTGTTAGGTAGGTTTTGGCCATCCTCTCCTCCCCCCCTTCCCTGCTTGATTTCTGCTGAGTTTTACTTCCATGGTATATACTTTGAAATGTGCTGTGAAACAACAGTCATCTTTGTATGCTGTTGGCGATGCTAGTCTCTGAATTAGGTTGTCTCTTAATTGCTTTTCTAGATTATCCTTACCCAAATTCCTCCCAATCTATTAACAATAAAGTGTTAGGAATAGGGTTATAATTTACTTTACATGTAATCTTATTAAAAATTTAAAGAAGGAATTTAATGAAGACATTCTTGATATTGTTATAAAGCTCTTTTAATTATGAAGTTCATTAATATATTTTTGATTTTTTAGCATTCTCAGAACTGTGGTGCTGGAACAGGGATTTTCCTTTTGATCAATGCATCAGTAATTATCATCATTCGAGGTCACCGCTTCTGCCTCTGGGGTTCCGTATACTTGGATGCTCATGGAGAGGAAGACCGGGATCTTAGGTTAGATGGGCATGGATATATCCAGGTGTTTTATTGAAGTTTGGTTAGTAAAAACCAATGTCATTCCTGGCTTTGTAATTATAATTTTTAAATATTAAGACGTTCTGCCAGTCATTAATTTAGACCTACTTCTAAATTTTTGAGATATTCTCCCTATCAACATGTTGAGAAAACATGAAATAAACCAAATTACTGTATGAGATTTTTGCCACAAAGAATCTATTAAAAAAAGAAGTGCATGTGGGATTTTCATTGTACTGTATTACTTTTAATACTTTTTTTTTCTTTTCATTCTAGGCGAGGCAAACCTCTCTACATTTGTAAGGAAAGATACAAAGTTCTGGAGCAACAGTGGATTTCTCATACTTTTGATCACATCAATAAAAGATGGGGTCCACATTACAATGGGCTGTGATTCACCACCTCAGCATTGCATTATATCATCATTTTCATTAAGAATTTATTTTATCAATAATAAGCTTTAACTTAATTTGGGGGATTAACACTTTTACTGAGGGAAAAAAGAAAACATACATGATGAAGCCTTTCCAAAATTAGGTGCTTGGTAATCACGTTAATGGTATAATAATTTTTTTTAAAGTATCTGGAGAACTTAACAAATAACAAGTTAAATTAGTCTTTAGTGGTCATTTTTTTTTTTAAGTGCACAATTAATAAGAAGCACAACTTGTTCACAAAATCATTCAGAAGTAATTCTCCCAAAAATGCATATCAGCTATTCATTGATACTTAGAGTGGTTGTGATTTATTTGAAATTTTGCTGCCTTTTTCTGTCTGTGTGTTTTAATTTGCATCTGATAAGCATAATGCATCTTTTTCCTCTTCCATTCTTGTGTTGATTTGAGAATTTTGCTGTATGTAATTAGAACAAAATGTAAAACATGATTTATGTGAAATATTGTATAGTAAAAGTTGGTCTAATAGTAGAACTGTAAAATTTTTCTTATTGTGAGGAATCTGTTAAAAGTTTAAAGCTTTGCTGAAAACTTAATTCATTCTCAGGAATTTCATAAATATTCTCCCCAGGTAAATAATGGAAATAGCTGTAAAATAAGTAGATAGCTGCTGTTAATACAATACAGTACATTTTGAGGGGCTTATGTATGGTTGGCGGGGAGTCCTTAAAAATCAAAATTTGCCATTTCAGTTGGATGAATTAATAAGGTAGTAACATAAATTTTACTATAAAACCAAAAGGTTTAAGAACATACACATGCAGATTTTGATTCTATGCATGCCCACCTTTTATTACCAACCAAGTTTTTTTTTTTTTTTTTTTTTATGATTGGATTGGAAATGCTCAGACTTCCCTACAAATGAACCATAAGTTTTGGAACTTTACCGTCAACTCAAGAGGTTCAGCTATACTGCATTTGTGCAGTGTAATCACTGCTATTTCTGCCTGGTTTCCTAAAAGGAAAGAAAAAAGGCTCGGTAGTGATGGCCCTCATGAATGAACCATGCATTCTTCTTAGAAACTGCTCTCAGTATGCAATTTATGTTTGGAGGGTTTTAAATCAGTAAGAATTGGAATGATTGAGCTAAAACCCACTCTATAAGGAGGGAAGGAAGATTATAGAAAAGCATGTTATATATTGCTACCAAGATTTTTTTCCCAAATGATTCAGTAATTTGGTGATTCTTTCATATATAGTGCTATCAAGCAATTCCTGGTTCTTTGGACTTCTGTGGCTTGTTATATAAAATTACATTTTTACATGTAAAAATAAACTTTAAAAAAGCTAATGAAAAAATATAAAAATAACATCAGACCTGTGTTCTAAAAAAATTTTTGTAATGACATATTACAGAATATGAAATGGATGTTAAATGATGGCCTTGCATTAAAATAGGGAGAGCAGAGCAGTACATATTCAAATATGTTCAAAAAGTCAAAAAATTACCTATAGCTCTACAATAAAATACATGGAAATAGCTTGCTATTTTTATATACATTTCCAAAATATTAAGATAACTTTCTGTAAGACTAGAATGATTCTGTTTGACTAAATAGCTGTCCTTTCCAACACATTGCTACTTTTTTAAATACTGTATCATAAGTTCAGCCTGTCATATTTTTTGCATCGATCATTATGAATACCAGACCATTTGTAAGTGTGGTTGAAGAGCAAAATGCTAATTTACATCTCTAGTACATATTGTTACAGGATTCATGAACTTGAATAATTCTGTAGTTTGAAACTCTGATGCTATATATACACATGGTATAATGTATTCAGACTTTGATTACTACTTATTTAAAATGGAATGTTTTATGGTTGTGCATATGGATGTGAAGTGAAAATATTAGCCTTAACTTTAAAATTTGGGTATTTGATAGTGTTTATTTTGATATTGGTGAATTAGTCACCAGTAAATTTTAAAAAAGCACTTGGTTGAAAATTGTACTTGAATACATACATGCATGCTGCTAAACTAGAACTTTAATTTTTTCCCCATAACTTTTATAAGTCCCATTTATAAACCCACTTTTAAAAATAACAGGTCCAAGTTAGAGTGATGTGTGTATATTATTCAAACAAAATGTACTGGTGTGATATCTTGTATGAATGATCATTTAAATACAGTACATTACTGTAGAAGCTAAATCAATCTTTATAATTAAGCAGAAATTACAAAACTAGGAATAATCAACATTGTAAGATATGTTAATAAAAACCTACTGTCATTTGGTTTGTGAAAGATCCTTAAAATGTTTAATTCTTGCATGTTTTTTTTTTCAGTGATATTAACTAATATATATGAGTGAGCATGGCTGAAAGGATAAAGGTATAACATAACTAGTAGTTGCTTTAAGGTAGAATCGATCTAAAGAGTTTTCTTTGTTTTTATCTTTTAGTTACAGAGCTAGTTCCTGTTTTTTCTGTCCTTGTCTCGCAAAGCTGCTGCTAAATGTGTGTGTTTTTTGGTAGAGAGAGAAGGAAATGGTTGTGTAGATTTGAGAAACACTGCTATGGTCTCTGCTCTTTTCTGAAAGTCCCCAGCTAGACTTCAGAAATTGAAAGTGCTTTGTGATAATGTTTATTTTGAGTTCTCTGTGGTGTTGTTTGAATTGACAGTCCTCACCTCTACCCCTCCGTCCTGTAGCTCACCAGCCATTTATCATCTAGCAGTGCATTTCCATTCTCAGACCTTTCCTTCTGTTTTATGTATTGTAGTATTTATTAATTTCTGTGTCTTAGAAAAGATGCTGACTGAAAGCTTAGAGGTAACGACAGTATGGAAGGAGATGAGGCCTAAGACTCTCTGTTGGCTTGTATTTGGAGGTCATGTTGTGAAAAAACAAAAACAAAAAGCCTGATTTTAACCATTAGAGCCAAATCACCAAGGCAAGGTGGGCATTTACTGGTGGGTGTACCTGATAATTGACGGTTATGGGAGAGCAGATGACTCGTGACTGTTTCTCAGTCCCATTCATAGGGCATAGTTCTTCCCTTTGCCTTATGATCTGGGTGGACGATGTTAAGCACTACTTAGTTCAACAGGGACGAGCTGGAGTGGGCAGAATGACAACATGATCACTTTTTTATTTATGACACTCCAAGTTCCCTATTAATCAGGCACATCAAATATGGAAGAGCTATTACCTGCTGTTTTAGTGTATAGTAGTCACCTAGCAGTGGCATGAGAGTGACTCCATCTGATGCAACACAACGAAAAGGCCAATGGGATCTTGTGTAGAACTGCCTTTGTGTGAGTTAAATTAATGTAAGATGTAACAATACCAAACTGATGAGGCAGAGCCCAAAACCAGAAGGAGTGGGGTTAATAGCGCAGATAAAGGTTTCAGCTTAAGGAGAAAGAAAAGATGCAAGAGAAAAGAAAGAAAGTCTGGAACAAAATAAGAGGATTTATATCTGATTCCCTCTTGGTGACAGAGGAGCACAATGTGTTGAGAGTGAGCAGGCCTAGCATATCTGGGAGCTTAAGTAAGAGGTGAAAGTTTAGATATACACTAAGAGAGAAAATAAGCCAGAAATAAAGAGAAGCACCACAAAAGTCCTACTGAGAGCCCAGTGGGGTTAGAAACCATAAATTTTAATGGAGCCATTTAGAAAGGTTCTGTGACTTTATGGAACCCCTGAGATCAGCAGTCTAGGACCCGAAGGATAGACTACTAAACTAATGCGTGGCTTGGGGATTAGAGATATGTGTGTAATATATCAGGGTACAATATAAGTTGATAAAAGAATTAGGGGTGCTGGTTGACATGAGTATGGGGTTCATGTTGGATTTGTAGGATAAACTGATGGGTGTAGGATTGGAAGTCAATAAGATTTAATGAGCAGATTTAATGGGACCTTTCAAGGTTTTCTTTTGGAATTATGATAAATTGCTTCAGTATTGAAGCATTTAAACTGATCTATTTAGTAAGTATTTATTGAGCTCCTTCTATGTGCCAAGCATGGTAATAAATATCGGAAATACAATGGAAAAGAAGTCAAATAGTCCTTTCTCTCACAAAGCTTCCTGTGTGATTAATGCTACAGATGATGTATGTGTTTGGGGGAGAAGGGGAGTAGAGTAGAAGGTGCTATAGAAGGACTCTCTAAACCAGACTTGGGGAGTATGAGGAGGCTTCCCCGAGGTAGAGGTGTCTCAGATGATCTCCAAATACTGTGTAGGCATTATCTAGGTGAAAGAGGAAGAGTACGGAGTAACGTTTCAGGCAGGCATAGGGAATACCATTTGCAAAATGTTGAGAGAGAACTTGTGGTTGTGGATCTGAAAAGGGCTATTCTGACTGTAAGCATAGGTGCTTTTGAGAGATAAGTAAAATCTAAATTACAAAGAGTTTTTTAAACCATTCTAAGGTTTTAGGCTTTTTTCAGAGAGCAGCGGGAAGCCATTTTTAGGACTTTAAAGAATGAAGTGACATGATCAGATTTGCATTTTAGAAAAGTCAGTCTGGCTGCATTGTGGAGAAAAATCCAGAGTAGGGAGACTTGCCCAGGTATCTGTTGAAAGAGGCCAGACACATGATGGTGTTTGGCTCAAATAAGGGAGTTGTAGTAGGAACAGGGAGATGCCGGCAGTATTTAATGAGACTTGACAGAATTAAGTAGAGAGAGAAAAGAGGGAAGAAAAGGAGAAACCTAACAAGACTCCAAGGCCACTGTCTGCTTGAATGAGTGCCCGCTCCGACCCCTTCTGAGTATACTATCCTCTGCTTGCTTTGGGGAGTGGGTTTGCTAAATTAAACTTTCTGCTTATGCTTCACTAAAAAAAAAAAAAAAAGTAGAGAGAAAGTGCAAAGAATATTGATTAAGTGCCTGCTGCATGCTAGATACTAAGCTAAATGCTGGGGATACCGCATTGTACAAGACAGAAAGGGTCAGTGTCTGCTTACAGTCTAGTGGGAAACAACCCTGATAATGTAATTATAGGTCAACCGAATGTTTTCAGCAAGTTAGGCTATGGGAAACGATGGACTCATTTAATTTGGAGAGTTCACAGAAGGCTACATGGAAGAAGTGATGTTTAAGCTGAGACCTGAAAAAAGGGTAGAGGTAAGTTAAGTGAAGGAGGGAATGGAGGAGGGCTTTCTAAAAGATGCAGCACACAGACCCTGGAATAAGAGTGAGGAAGTTGCGCTCAAGAAACTGAAGAAGCGCAGTATGGTTGAAGCATAGAAAGCAGAAGCGAGTGTGACGAGATGATGCAGGAAAGACAGGCAGGAATCAGATCATGGCTTCTTGAGTCATGGTATGGATTTTGGTCTTTATGGCCTTTATTTTGGTTATGGCCTCAGTCTAGAGGTCAGCAAACCTTTTCTGTAAAGGGCCAGATGGTTTCTGTCACAACTGTTCAACTCTGCCACTGTAATGCAAAATATCACAGACATATAAGTGATTGGACATGGCTGTGTTCTATCAAATGTAATTTATAAAAGCAGGCTGCAGGCCATAGTTTGCCAATTCTTGGTGTAGAGAATGAGAGGAGGGGAATGGGAAGATTTGAAAAAACCATTGAGGAGGGTAATTCAGTAGCCGGAGGAAAGATGAAGATGGTTTATACTAGGACAGGGACTGAAAGCACTTATGTTCTGGCCTGATGGTTGGTTGTGTTATTTCATGAGTTAGGAAGCAGTAGAGAAGGATCAGGTATAAAGTTGAGAGTGCTGTATACAGATTTTTTCATGTTGAGTGTGAGGGTATGTGACAGTTGATGGATTTGAAGGGTAGGCACTCAGGATGAAGTTCTGGGTGAAGTTCTAGATTGAGGAGCCATCACCTACAATTTGTAACTAAAATTAGGGAAATAAATACCATCCAGAGAGAAGAGGGCCTGTGGTAATACCCTAAATAGCATCTTCATTTTAGGGAAAGCAGAAGATGGTTGAGCCTAAGGACAAGATCGATAAGGAGGTGGGTAGATGGGAAGGGAGAAAAATGGAAATGTGAAATTCTAGAAGGAAGGATATCTTAAGGAAAAGGAAGTCAACAAAGTGCAGTGGAGAGCTTAAGAAAGATAAGAGCTGAAAAGGTATTCATTAGATTTTGTGACAAAGGAAACAATTGATATCCTTGATGAGGATAGTTTTGGTCAAGTGGTAGGAGGAGAAGCAGAACATAGCTCCTGGAGGTGAGGCAGTAGAAAACTTGGACAATAAAGTGGAGGAGAGGGCACGATGTGTGAACTCTCCCTAGCATGGCCAGGACTTACTACTGTCTGCAGGACACCTGGCCATGTTTACATCAAAACCTCCTTCCAATTAGATTTAGTGTTGATTCAGGTGGTATTGTTTGCTATCTCAGTCTAGGGCTGGAAGTCAGCAGACCTGGGTTTGAGTTCCCTCTCCTTATGTCAGTATGTTAGTTGGGAAACTGCCCTGTTTCAAGCAATAGAAAACCTGACTAAGCAATACTTTGTAGAAGTAAAGGGTTTATTTGTTTCAGGCAAAAGGAAGTCTGAAGGCAGACATAGACATCCCAAGAAGGGGCAGCTGCTCAAGGAATCATGGAGCTAGGATCCTATTTTCCTTTTTCACTTCATTAAGATTATCGGTTTTATCTTCTCGCTGCAAGATGGCTGCTAATCTCCAGGCTGTGTGAGGATGAAAGCAAGATGGTAGCTAACTTTGTTTTCTAGGCAGGATAAAGACAAATATGTCAAAAGCCTTTTCCTAAGGCTTTGTCCTTTGCTCAGCAAGAGAAGCCCTTTTATTAGTCAGTAATGTTAGGTGCCCACCATTAAATGTAAGAAACCTGGGAAGGTGAGTATTTTAGCTTTTGAGTCTCTATGCTAGAGAAATACAAGGGGAAAAAAAGGATTGTGAGTAGCTTTTTGGTGGCTAATTCAAAATCTGCCACACTTTGTTTCTCATCTGTGCAATGGAGACAGTAGCTAATGTGATGGTTAAATGAACATAGACTCTTCTGTTTTCTAGTAATAGATTAAGTGATTCAGACTGTATTAGTTATCTATTGCTGTGTAACGAGTTACCCTAAAACTTAATGCCATAAAACAATATACGTGACATCACAATTTCTTTGGATTAGGAATCCAGGAACAGTTTAGCTGTGTGGTTCTGGCCCAAGGTCTTTCACAAGGCTGCAGTTAGAGTGTTAGCCAGGGTAGCAGTCATCAGAGGCTTAACTGGGGCTGGAAAATCTTCCAAACTCACTCATGTGGCTGTTGGCCAGAGATGTCAGTTTCCTGCCACGGAGGCCTCTCCATAGGGCT